GGGAGGGAAATGCATGGGACTATGGTGGTGGCATACGGGTGATTTGGTGATGGGAAACCCGCGGGGATTACAATCGAGATGGAAAAAAAATGTGCAAAATGATGTAAAAATAAACTTTTGTAATAATTAAAAAAATATATGTATATGATTTTTTATTGAATATGACTTTAATCAATATCAAATTATTTTGTGCCCAGGTTCTACCACAATAACATCATCCTACCCTACAAATAATAAGGTCAATCTTAATAAATATATGTGAAAATTAAAGCCAAGGGAGACTAAGTTCCTTGTTCAGAGATTTAAAATGTTTTAAACTGAAAAACATATAAAATGACGAATAAGCAGTAAGTCTTAAAAGAAAAAGAAAAGCCCACTAAAATATTTTTATTGACAACCTAAAAACTTACAGCCACCAAAGCTACTAAGTTACATACCTTATTTTCTTGGCCCCACTGCCAGATGCTAGGAGCTTGCATGCCAAAGAAAGCAAAAGGATCCTTGCCAACAATTATTAAGCCTATTAATACTAGTTTGAAGACTGACAGGAAAGATGCTATGTGTCTATTAAAAGAAAAGAGACAAATTTATTAGGAGCTACAATTTCTGATCTACTTCAATTATTTCACAACTCAAGTTTATGTGTATAGGCATTTGCTCGACACTAAAAGTTACTCATTATTACTAGTGAAAAAATAAAGTTTGCTACACATATTTAATCACAAATTCACTTGTAAAAGTATATGACAATGTCCTTTAAAGGCAGTATTTTAATACTATGGAATTTTATAATATTGATTAAAAAAAAAACTGAGTTCCTGATCTATTTTCACAATAAAAATTACTTAAGAAAAAAAATATGTTTATTGGCATTTTTAAACTAACCAAACAAGCAATACTAAAGTTTTGTATAAGAACTCTTCCTTTTTACAGAAAAAAATTCTTCTATTTTTGGATCAAATAAACTTGTTATAGTATTTCTCTACACATTATTTTAGTAACCAAGAAATTATAGCAACTAAGGACAGACACTTCAAAAAAGTTTATGAAGTAAAATAATTCTTTCCTCTTTATTTATTGAAATTACTTACCTATATATTGGTTGAGGAAGGTAATTCTCTCCTTCAATGCGGATGTCTGGGTACCGCTGGCTAATAACCCGCATGTACTCCTCAAACACCCGCCTATAACCTCAGGAAACACTGCAGAAAAATAAAAGTACTTCCATTAAGTGGCTAAATGATTAGACGTTTAGGTATATTTTCCAATAATGCAAAGCCTAACAATTATTACCAACACTGTTTCTCAAGAACAATCACAAATCAGTAATGTTTGATGCTAGATGATGGATATGAAAATACACAGAAATTTTTCACAAATTTGTGTGTATTTGTGTGTCCTAATGTTCCATTTGGATGCCATACTTACAGAGTTGGATTATTGTTGTATAACCAAAAATAACTTCTCATATATGTCACTGTATCCTGAACTTGAAAATCAATTTGCCTTTTTAATAAGTCAATACCTGTATAAGCACTGAAATGAAAACTATATTTATTCTTCTGAAACAGGGTCTTTCAAAATAAGAAGCTTAAAAAAAAAAATCAAGGCATGAGACATGAAACTGATTCTTATTCTCTTTCTGCTCCTAAGTGGGCAAATGTGCTTGTAATGTTCAATCAGAATAAAAGGGCCTTAAATAACTCTTACACTCCTTCTGACTGTGCAAAGGAAATCAAAAGCTGGGAAGATAATTTTCAATAAAGTAACAGTATTTCACAACACTACTCAAGAAATTAAATCAACAGTACCCAATCATCTCTATAAAAGTCCCTGAACAACTAAATTGGGTATATGGTACACAATGCCCCAGCAAGAAAAGTAAAATAAACTACCAAAGTGCATATATATCAAGGAATAAAGGATACACTAATGAGAAATAAAACACAAATAAATTAAAAGATAGCATTCATGTTCATGGATCTGGAGAATTTATAGTATTAAAATGTTCAAGATACACAAAATAATCTAAAGATTGCATGCAGTCCCTATCAAAATATTGTGGTTATTTTTTACAGAAAAACAACAAGCAATACTAAAGTTTTATAAGGAACTATAAAAGATCCCCAACTAGCCAAGGCAATTTTAAGAATAAAGCTGAAGGCATCATGTTTCCTGATTTCAAACTATACTACAAACACAGACCAAAAGAAGTGTGGTACTGGCATAAAAACATACATAGATCTGTAGGCAGAATCAATAATCCAGAAAAAACACTTTGGTTAATTACTCTGCAACAAAGGAACCAAGAATATAAAGTGGGGAAACTGGATATCATGTGCAAAAAAATGAAACTACATCACACAAAAAACTCAAAATGGACTAAAGATTTGAATATAATACCTGAAACCATAAAGCTCCTTCCTATAAGAAAACATAGGAGATAGTCTCCTTGAGATTAATCTTGGCAAGTTTTTTGGATTTGACACTAAAAGCAAAGGTAACAAAGAAAAAAGAAACAACTGAAACTATATCAAATTAAAAAGATTCTGCACAGCAAAGGAAACCATTCACAAAACAAAAAGACAACCTATAAAAAAAGAGAAAATATTTGCCGAGCATATCAATGATAAGGGTTTTGTCCAAAATATCTAAGGAACTCATGCAACTTCATAGCCAAAAATCTATATAAATAAAGGACAAAGAAACTGAACAGACATGTTTCCAATAATAACACACAGATGGAGAACAGGAAACAACACTAGTCAACAGGAAAATGCAAATCAAACAACCCTGGGACACTTTGGTATGAATGTAAAATGGTGACGCCAATATGAAAAACACAAAGGAGGTTGCTCCAAAAATTAGAAATAGGGCTATTCTAATGATCCTGCAATCCCACTTCAAGGTATACTCAAGGGGAAATGAAATCACTATCTCAAAGAGAGATCTGCATCCCCATGTTCACTGCAGCATTGTTTACAATAGCCAAGACATGAAAACAAACTAAGTGTCCATTTACACACAAATACAAATTCTTTAAAATGTGGTATGTGTGAAATAGAACTTATTCATAAAAAATGTGGAGATCCTACTATTTGAGACAAAGATGGTCCTTGAGGGCATTGTGCTACATGAAACAAGTTAATAAACATAAATACCACATAATCATACATAAGGACTGTCAAACTGTAAGATACAGTGAATAGATTAGACGTTGCCAGAGGCTATGGGGTGTGGAATATAGGATTGGTCAAAAGGGTACTAACTTCTAATTATAAAATGAATAAATTCTGGGGATCTAATGGACAACATATTGTTACAGTCAATCAATACCGTATACCTGAAAGCTCCTGAGAATAACTTTAAATGTTCTCATCATTTAAAAAAAAAGGCAATTAACATGTTATGATGAATGTTAGCTGATTTATTGTGATAGTCACTTCCCCAATATATGTTAAATCTACCAAATCATTACCTTAATTATACAGTTTCTGTTTGTCAATCACACTTCAACAAAGATGGGAGGAGGGAAAAGAGGTACTGCTACCATCTCAACAGAAGCACTTACAAATTCAGGTAAGACTGTTAAGTACATTACTACATTGTTTTCCTAAAGAACATATAATGAAATTGTTAATTAGTGCAAAGGGAATATCAGTAATTATACTTTAAAAAACCTCAGGTGCCAATTTTGCCAATCACACTGTCATCAAGAAAAAAAAATATCAACCACCACCAACCCAAGGCAACTGCATTGTGTTTGTACTGATTGGGTAAAACAATAGATATTAGACCTTGATTTAAGAAAACCCACTTTTCCAAAAGAAGGTGAGAAATTCACTAGTCTTTCTTTATAAATGCATCCTCTATGTTTAAAATAAAAATTTCAGAAAGGATTACATCTCAAAATAGTATGATTTGGGGAGATGGGGGCGAGTAAATCTCTATAAAGATTTAAAATCACGAATCTATTTTCACTAAACATTCACCATATCCATATCTCATTACTATTACTAGATTCATCAAGTATTAATATTTTGCCACAATTTTCTCAATAATAATTTTTATGCTGTTTCTGTCTTGAAGATACTAAATCTATACACCTAACCACCCTGAAACCAACAAGTGCCACCTATTTTTAGGTACAGGTCTGCATCACTGTTTACAATTCAGCTGATAATCTAAAAGTCAAAGTATCTGACCTTAATGTAATAAATAATTAAAAACCTGAGGTTTTTTAAAGTATAATTACTGATATTCCCTTTGCACAAATTAACAATTTCATTATATGTTCTTTGGTAATAATAATTAGTAATTTCTTTTCAATAGATGAAAGGGAGAAATAATAAGACCAACAGAGATCAAGCAATTTTTTCTTGATTATTCACCATGTATTACTTCAGCTCATTCACTTAAATATTTATTGACTGCCTACTATGTGTCAAACATTCTACCAGGCAATAGATATGTAATGATACTCTAGTCAGAGCTGAGACTACAACGGATTTTGTGATGTCACATTCTAGGCCAGTTCAAATGGATTTGTGCCACTGATATTCAGGACTTTGAAATAATACTTCCCCTACATTATCCAAAAAACAACAACAACAACAACATGATCTTTTGTAAATATTATGGTTTGTGATCTACAGCATCAGTCCAACAGTTCTTGATCATTGAAAACTATAATTTTTAGATGCAATTTTTATTTCTCCTTTCTGTTTAGTAGATAAGGCGGTGCTAGACACCTGCCTGGCACATCACTTTCTCTAAGTGCTTTATTTGGATGTGTAAGTACTTGTATGCTTGTGTGTTTTTTGTTTTTGTTTTAGTTGTAAAAGTAGTACTAAGGAACTATCTATTTATCAAGTTAAGAAACTGTATTAACTGAAATCAAGTGAATTCCCTCCCCACTCTACCCCTTGAGCACTACAGTAACCATGAGAGCACAATACACAAAATATACCTACAGTGTTTTCTAAGTTTCCTTGCTTCTTTAGTGAGTTTATTACAAAGATTTAATAAATTTAAAATTTAATTAATAATGTTTTTATGGGCCTTCCCTGGAGGCACAATGGGTAAAGAGACAGAACTGCAAGCTTGCCACAGCTGCTTCAGTGAGTTCAATTCCTGCCCCAGAGGTGACCCATATGGTGTGACAGACCCCTTCTGACCCATCCACTGCTCCCCCTCAACAGTGTACTTCATAGATCTACCCATTCTGCTCCCCACTCTGTCATTCACCACCCCTGCACCTCTGGCTTGTATCTCAGTTCTTTATGCATAAATAAATAAATCTTTAAAAAAGTTCTTATACTCTCCATTCTTTTTGCCTTATTTTTAAGGTCACTAACTTCTAATTCCCCTATACTTTTAGCATAACAATTAAGGAAAATAGCAATGGGTACAAACTATTCTATCAAGGATTAATAAACCACTTTAAATTCCTCAGGTCTTTCTAGGTAAGGAATTTTCTCTCTTTAAGTAAGGAATTTTATCTCTTTCTTCAAGAAAGCATTTTTATTAATAGGCTTAATAAGATACGTAGCAAACGCAATATAAATGACTTCATAAAGGCAGTTAGTAAATGGTGATCTACATTCTGTAGAAATTCTTTTTAAAAAAAAAATAAAGATTTCTTTATTTATGCATACATAACTGGGGTACAGGCCAGAGGTGTGGTGGGTGAGAGGATTCACCAGAGACAAAGTGGGGAGCAGAACAAGCAGATCCACAGAGTACACTGCTGAGGGCAGCAGCGGGAGAGACAGGAGAGGTCTGCTGCACCACATGAATTACCTGGGGGGAACTGAACTTGCACTGAAGCAGCTGCAGCTCACCTGCAGTGCAGCACTTAAACTGGCTGGGCCACTAGGGAGGGCCCACAATTTCATGTTTTTAATTCTTTTCAGTTTTTCTAACAGAGGTATAATTCATGTCATAAATTCACCCTCTCTACTTTTATAAATTGATAGAAGGACTGATAAAAAATAAAATGTATTGTGTTTTATGCATAATTCACCAGCCAAACTAGAAAGCTATTGGCTACTTTGTTTCCTGCTTTCTTCCTTGTCCTGTTTGTTGTATACTGATTTCAAATGACACTGCAATGAACTCAAAAAAATATCATATTCTCTGATTACAGTGGAATAGACTAAAAAGTTTTTAAACTTAATTTATTCTAAGACATTCTAGAAGT